GATGCCTCCTGACATTCCAACTTACATATCTGCTTATCACCAGAGTTTCAAAATCACTGTCATAAAATGACACAGTGCCTGGCACATAGAAAACACTCCAAAAAATATTTGCTAAATAAAAGTACCACTAAGTAGGTGATATATTCATTTATTATAAATGTAACAAAACTCCTATGTGGAGGAAGGTTAATGGGAAACTATAAATCAAACAAAGTCATAAAGCACAGTGACTTAGAAGTCACTAAGGAGATCAGAATCCAAGAAAATCACAATACTTTCCAAATATTTTCCATTCCATGGATACAAATAGCAATAATTTTACTTATGTGACCTCAACAAGCTTAAGACAGAGAAAGTGAAGCAAAGAACAAAGTTTCAAGTCAAACAAACTTTAGTCACAATTTCAACTTCTCCATTTAAAGCCATGGAGCTTTAAGCAATTTCCTTTATTGTGTGCAGCCTGTTTCCTCATTTTTAAAAAAGACAGCAACAATAATAACAAATTCAAAGAACCAAAAAGATTAAATAAGAATACATGTGTCAAAAGCTAATTATTAGCACAGTTCTTTGCTTGATACACTCCTTTTGAAGCAAACAGATTAAAAATCACCTGTATCACCTCTGTCCAAACTGTTATCACACCATTCCTAATAGTCTACACAATCTGAGCAGAGAAATAATCCAACTGGCAATTATGGTTTCCTCTTAGAGAAAAGTCGAAAAAAAAAGTAGGAGCTTCTATATTTATTATCAATATCATGAAGACAGAATGAGGGGCTGATGTTGTGTCATAGCAGGTTAAGCCACTGCCTAACATTAGCATTCCCTCTCAGAGTGCCAGTTCAAGTCCCAGATGCTCTGATTCTTTTTCAGTTTCTTGCTAATGTGCCTGGGAAAGCAGTGCATGATAGCCTATTTGCTTGGGTTTCTGCCACCCATGTATGAGACCCAGATGGAGTTCTGGGCTCCTCCCTTTGTCCAGGCTGACCCAGCTTTGGCCACTGTGGCCATTTAAGGAGTGAACCAGCAGACAGAAGATCTCTCTCACCCTCTTTTTCTCTCCCCTCTCTCCCTCTGTCACTCTGCCTTTCAAATAAATAAATAAATCTTTGAAACAAAAATGCCCTGATTGGAAAATCAATTAAAAACACATCAAAAGACTGAATGAATTTAGTGAAAACAGTGAACATACCCAGTCACTGACACCAACACAGATTTTACGTTCCAAAATAAACTCAGGAAAATTAATAACAACAGTACCCAATTACTTGGAAAATCTGAAAGAGTATTTCCTCTAAACTAAAAAGAAATCATATTTAAAGAGTACCACAGAAAGCAAGAGAGTTTTTGAATGACAACCAAATAAAATCTCACAGATTTTAGGGAACACTCTCCAAGATCGCTGCGGTTAAAAGGGGAAGAAATGGTTTTAAATTTCAACATCAGGACTTGGAAATTAATTTCCTGGTATTGTTAAACATCTGATTACCAAGGGAGGCTTTCAAATTTCTGCTTCACTCAAAATGGAAAGGCTTCCTTATGTATTAGATCTAAGTGAGATTCTCTTCTTAATCAGTAAATCCCAAAGTGTGCTATGACACACTAATATGTAATGTAAATAATTTAATTACAAAGTTTTGGATTTAGCAATTCCTCTAAATCAGGTTGATCAAGCAAAGCAATACAGTCTACATATAATAGTATCTGGAAATGCGGATAAAGGTCATTTTAAAATTGATGAGATGACCCTAGAGAAAGCAGAGGGGAAGGAAGCTAATAGTGTTTAGTAGTTGGGCCTCAAATGCTAAATCAATGACAATCCATACCACATACTCTATAGCATCCCATCTACTACGCTCTTCTACCCCATCAAAACAAACAAACAAAAAAAAGGACATGTGGCCTGTTTCCCATTCTCCCCTTAAAGAAAGTCAAGCCAGACCATTTTAACCTCCAAAGTCCAGGACTCCATAAGGACACCACAAGATGTACAATTTGTAATAAACTGGAAGGCAGTTTAGTCACCATGACTGCTATCAGATGCTAGCCTCTCGCCTCTTTCATTATCATGTTCAAGTACGGTTCCTTTCAAGGGTGTATGCTCACAGTTTTCTAATAAACCCTTGCTTCAACACCAAACTTTCAGAAAAGATAAGAGATAGCTACACGAAGAGAAAGATCCATAACCACTGATAACAATGCAAAATTTTGTGTGCAGCAAGTAGTATATGTGCATTTTAATGGGGGACAAGATCCACAATTTATCTAAGATTCTCAGAAGAGCCTATGACCTTTAAACATTAATAATATAACCAAAAATCTTTCATGATTTCTGTGCTCAAAAATATCTGATTTAAATGCTACACCTATAAAGATTTCCATATGTACTTAGCTAAAATTAATTTTTATATATAATTTATATATATATACAATTTATATTTCTCCTCCAGCAATTGCCATGTTCTACATAGATTATTACAATACTGTAATGTCTTCTCTGATCTACCATAACATAACTAAGAGGTGAAAGCTGTGTCTTAATGCCTCATTGTGTCATCAGTAAGTGGCACAGTACCCTGTATTGTTATAGGTATTTCATATAATTATAAAATTATATATACTTTTCAGGGAAATATGACTACTAAACAAAGATAAAAACTACTTGCAGCAAAATATCTATAGAGGATACAGGAATTTCATGTTCCAGAAGCTAATCAAATGGCCAATCTAATTACATATGAATTCATACCCACAAACTCTTTAACACATTAGAGCTAATTACATTATAGAAAGCCTGTATAGATAGCCCTGAATGTAAAGTACTCTGGAAAGTGTAAAGCATTACATCATACAGACTTTAATTAATCACGATTATTACTGCCCCCTATCCTTGACAGTAGTATAACTACTAAATCACTTCTATTCTTTAGTATAGTTCTACGAAAGTTTTCTGCATGTTAAAATTAATTAATTGAAACAGGTAACTATATTAAGATGATTTACAGATCATCAGATGCCAAGTTAAACTCGAAAAATAAGAAAATATAGAAGGGAAATTAAGACTGTGAAGTTTTATAATTTATGACTGTATTTATAAAACCGAATGTACTAGATTTTAAAAGAAAGACATACCAATTCTTTTGTTTCTCTTAGTTTAAATTTTAAACTACCTTATTCTTAGAAAGGTCTCCACAAGAAGATTCAGGTAATAACAAACCTCAGTCAACTGAGGGAAGATACTTTGTACTTCTTACAGCAATTAAGAGCATAGAAAAAAACAACAATTTTCTCAGTCAAAAGTGCTTGTTTATTTGAGTAGCTTTGACGTTTCACGGAATATTGTTATTGGAAGATGGACAAAGGACAACAAATGCAAGAAAGAGAAACTCTGGTGCAAATTTGAGTACTGAATAATTGATTTTACTTTGTATAGTGAAGTTCCTGCAGGAAAGCTGTGTTAATAAAAACCATCCCATGAACAACTCAATTTCTGTTCTTGTACTCAAAACTATATATTAATTATTCAAGAATGTTAGAAATGTTCTGTGTTTACATATTTTTGTTATATAAGCTCTTTATAATTTATCAATTTGCACAAAAACATTAATAAGAAACTTTTGGTTTATAAATATGCAACCATTTGTTAGCAAGAATACTTCTAACAATACACAAAAAGTAGAATGAAAAAGCACTTAAAATGCCAAGTAAAATATCTTACACTTAAGCCACGCTACAACTATTATAAAATAGCTCAAAGAATTTCAGAATCAAAGTATTTAAGTTGTATTTTATGACAACTAGATGTATGATGAAATTCAGCACTGGTTATAAATAGTATGATTTAAAAAGTTAACGATGGTTCTTTATTTATAAAGAATATTAATTCATATACAAAAGAATATGAATAATGAATACTTATAATCAGAAAATTAAAATTCTAGATCCTAATTCCTCAACTATGGAACTCTGCCAAATATTTTCATAACCTCTCTGAGTCTGATTTTTTTTTTTTTATAAATAATGGAAGCAGAATGGTTGATTTCATATTAAATTCTAAAAATTATGATTTGGGTCATATGAGCAAAGTTTAGACTCAAAAAATAAAGTATGTACATGTAATTGTTCATTTACAAAGAGAATTACTAAGCATTAGACATTGAAAATTAAAAAATAAAATTTAAGTACCATAAACAAATATACTTTAAAAATATGTACATAAGGACAAGCAAACAAGAAGTAAAAGCATAATCACAAGAAACCACATGGCTAATTAAATCCCAGTTTTGGCTTATAATCTTAGAGATTATTTCCTCTATTTTAAAATGTTGATAACTGGTAATACCCTGCATGAACATTCAGAACATGACATAATATTACGTTACATAATTACTCACTGATTCTGAAAGTAAACATACTTTACTCTGAAAAGCCACAATCAAATTACTTTAGAAGCAGTTCTATAACTTATGAAAATGTTCAAAGGCAGTATCCTAAACTGAATATATGCAACTATAAAATGCCTAAGGAATGCATGGGAGCCATACAACATTTCTACTTTTGTTCTTTATGAGATACATTTGGCAAAAAAAGAAATCATAAAAGTATCTTGTAGCTAAATATTCAAATAGATTAGAGGTGAGAGAGGAAGGTCCCGAGCTACTGTCCAACTAACAAACTTCCATTCAGGGCAGGAAAGTCTTTGTTACTCAAACGACCAGGGAATAAATAGCTCTGGTCAGGGACTTCTAATTCACTCACCAAGAGAATCAATGAATTTTAATAGGGCTACACTGAGGTTCATTCTTATAGAATATGAAAAATGGGGCAACTATTCATTTGCCAAGACCACATAATTTTGTCAATCAGTAAACTAATTGTTATAGATTAAACCCATTTAATTATTTTAAGGTGAAACCTTATTCCTGGAAATTATGAAGCACAAAATATCAATTAAGATCTTCAAAAGGCCATCAAATTTGTTTTTTAAAAAAATTTCTTACTGTAATGAAGTCATTCCCTTTAACCATTCTTCCTTGGTAAAAAATCCCATGCTTTCAGCCTCCAATTTCCACGCTAAAACTAACATAATAATCTGGAAAGAACAGAACATAAAGGATAGGGGAAAAGTCAGCATAGAGATAATCATGTCTATATTTATCATGGAGAGCATTTTTATACAACTATTTCCATCCTTCAACTACTAAAGAGTACAACCTCTGAAGTTATTAACGATAAAGAAATTGAAATGTGCTAATTTTTCAAAAGGTAGTTTATGAAGGTAGATCTTTTTTATTGTATTACCAGAGACATTTGTAGCAAGAAACTCTTGCCCAACTTAAACTATTTAAAACTACCATACTGCAAATTTATAATATTAAATATGAAAAAAGTCTTCATACAACATTAAAGTGTTTCAATTTTTACAAACTTATGAATATGATAAAGCCCATTTATATTCCATTCTACTTAGAAATAAAACATACATTTTCAGGTTCAACACCAATGTCTTCACAAAATTTTTCCATTCCTTCTGGCCCTACAACTTCATCAGGACCTTCAAAAACAAAAATAATTCATATATTTTGTTATTTAATATCAACATAAAATATAAGTCAATATCTAAAGGCAACCATGAATACATCATATTTTGCAAATAACTAAATTTGAATTTTGGAAGAGCTTACATAAATATAAATAATCACTACAAGATTTAATCTCTTTAAGTATTCACTGAATACTGCGTTACAATATAAAATTAAAGAAATTTTAAAAAAGCAGTAAACAATGCATTACTATCAACTACTACTTTGTATAAAACTTGAAAACATTTACTGAGCATGTATGCTGAATAAAAATGCTGGCAATGCAGGAATAGAAAGCGTAAGGCTGGAAATTCTTAATCTACCAGAATATATCAGAACCAATGCACAATTCAATATAGTCATCAGAAAGAGAATATCTGTCTACTTAGTAAACCAGATCATTCATTACCCTTTTGAAGTATGTTCAAATTTAACTTTATTCTTGAATTACTTTATAAAAATAACTTATGGAAATTACTATATGTACAGAAAGAGATATTTTCCTTACATACTGGTTCTAAAACAGAACAGCAAGGCATTAGTTATGTCACCTTAATGTAGAAGCATGAAAGTTCAATTTCTCAACTAGTTTATATTTCTCATTTGTCCAAAAATAATGGTATTTAACTCCTCCTTTACCTTACTCCCTAGGCACTAAGTATCATCATACATCAGCTCCCACATATTTTGCTTTCAGACTTCCAAAATACAGTAATTAAATCATTGCTAGGTCTTTTTTGTGACTGCACATACACAAAAAAACAAATTTTATAGTAATATGAACTATGACACAAGTGTTTTTACTATAATAGGAATATAGAACGGAAATAATATTGTTAAAGTAGCCAAGAAAAGCTTCTATTTTCCTTTCCTAAGGACTAAAATCACTTCAGCTTTATAAACCATAGACTAAGTCAATACTGCTCAGATGGATTTCATAGTACCACAATTAGGTTATAAGTGAAATATAAAGCCAATATCCTATAGTTTTTCTTAATAAAATAGTAACAGCTGTACAGAATGAGGTCAATCCATTCTTGCTGCCTGAGATGAGATCCAGAATTTTGCTAGAATTATGTCAATACATAATACCCAAAAACTATCTTAATTTTTTGTGTAAAATGGTGTCATTAGGTTTAAGTAAGTACTAACAATGTATTGAGACGTTAAGAGGTTAAGGGGATGGTAGTTATAGGGCCCTTTGCTTCCTACTAAATATTGGGAGAATGGTTTTGATGAGAATGAGTTAACTTTGTAATTTAAAAAGTATACATATACAACAAGTTGATTAAAAACATAACTGAATGTGCAGCCTTAGATAAAGTTGGAAAAAAACAAAAATCAGCTAAAAATTTAATGGAAGAAAACAAAGAGTGTTTTTAAACCAAAAGAATGGACACTACATTTTTCTAACACAAAATGAACCTTGTCCTCAAAGTTGCCATTAGCAATTAGAAAAGAAAGCTGAAGAGTTACAGTCAAAAAACATAAAACATAGCCCACCCTCCTTCCCAAAACTGGGGGATTCGTTAATGATTAGTGATTCAAATTCAATTAGAATGAATTCAAATTAAGTTATATAAACATATATAACATATATATGACAGAAACAGATAGTCTATAAACATCAATTGAATTTCTTTAATTAAATATTAACAGATCTAAAGCAAGGTCTATTCCACTGGTCGTTCCTGACTACATAATGTTAACTGTATTTTTGAACTATGTCTTTCCAATAAAACTACTTCTTTGGTAAAACCTCTAGGGCTGAGTATAATAAATTCTTCCACGTAACTAGGTTTTGTGTAAAATGGAAATTATTTAGTTTACTCCACTAGTTAAATTCACTCAACCAGTTGCACAAGGTATCAGGACTATGCAACTCTAAACGTTTTTTAAAAATTCTTTATGAGACCTTAAAAACACCCTTTCTGAAACGTTCTATGGTTCTTCTTACAATAGGCCGAGTATACAGCTGGCCTTCCACATCCAGGTATTTGACTGACCACAGGTGGAAAATATTCAGGAAAAACAAAATTATACCTATACTAAACAAGTACAGACATTTTTCTAGCTATTATTCCTTAAATAATAAGGCATTACAATTATTTACATAGCATTTATATTGGATTAGGTATTGCAAGTAATCTAGAGATAATTTTAAATTAAAACAAACACTATATCATCTTATAAAAGGAACCTGAGCATCTGTAGGGCTTGGTATCCTCAGGGGTCCTGGAACCAATACCCCACAAATATCAAAGAATGATTATGTTATTGAATCCTTGTTAATTTAAATGCATGAGCAGTCTTATGAAAGGCCAAAACCACCAGTCTTATGACACAGCTAATACAATTTTCAAAACTAAATGAAAACAAACACCATCAATTTCCCCATTTCTTTATGACCACAAAGAAATGTTCCCAGCCATATCTACAAGGCCTAATGCCATACCAGTCATAAGAGATGCTGGGAGGTGGGAGTGAGGATGGGGAAGATTTGCTCAGTAACACAATACCTCCAACATGAGTAACAGAGTGGTTGTTAATTTTGAAAAATATTGTAAAAAGCAATCAGTAAATTTGACACTGAGCTAGCCATATACCAAGTACAGTGCTAAGGGCTTTACATTTCAGTAGGCATAACTGTCTCCATTTTAGCAAAGGACAGCTCCATGTTAAAACAGAACAGTTACTGTTCATTTTACAACCAACTGGTTGCTCGTATCAATTGGGTTTCTGCTCAGTGTCTGCAAAGTGGTCTTCCCTATTTACTCTATATGAAAGTCCATTCAATCCTTCCTTCCTCTCTATCCCTGAACCTCTTCATTCTTACTACTTGTATAACCCTCTACAATGTGTAATTATCCAGTCTACGTGTCTGTTTACTGGCTATCTTCCTCACTGGAAGCCAAGTACCCTGAGGGTAGGGATCTTGTCTAACTTGTTCACTACTTTTAACACATAGCATGGTGCCTGACTCATAATGAATCCTTGAATATTTATTGAATGAATCATTGAAGGAAAAACAGGTAAGTTAACTTCAAGTTCACATACTAACATTTTCTTAGCAAAAATGAAAATTAGCTATTTACATGTTTAAAAAAGTATTTAAAAGCATGGGTTGGATCATGGCTCTGTCACTTTATAACCTTGGGCCAATTAATTTAATCTTCAGTTTTCTCATTTATAAGATGGGAATAGCATCAACTGCTTAACAGAATGGTCTTATATAGAAAAATTATATACTTAGCACAATTCCTGGAATAACAGCAATAATTATTACATCAGTTATTTTAAAAAATGCACCTAGAGGAAATGTTCAATTAGAATCTAATGTCACTCAGTAAAGTTCATAGGAGAAATAAAACAAGTGAGCATGAAAGAAAAAAAATTACTCATTATTGCTATGTTATCTAGCAACAATGTTAAGTAAAAATAGTATCTTTTGCTTCTGTAGCATGCATACCAGTAAAACTGGCATTGTGAATAATGGGTCAGCATTTTAAATGGAGGTCAGTACGAAAGTGAATTTGCTGCAATTAAATTGGGTTAGTGGTTGTCTTGGGATGCCAATAATAGCATTTTTTTCTGGTCTAGAAAGAATTCTTTTTTCTTCTACAAAACAATTTTTATATTATGCTTTTGGGATCATTCAGCTGATCCCAGTAGTGAAGTTACTGCCTCACTTTAAAAACAGTCTCAATTTTCATAGTTAGTCTATACTTCAAGTTCAGAGTACACTTGAAACCTTAACTTGGATTAGCAGTAGATATAAAATAACAACAACAAACAGGGAAGCAAATAAGAAAAAGAAACAGGAAAAAGGAAAAGCAAAAACAAATTCTTAAAATCAGCATCTCTAGAAGACCAAACCCATTCTAAGAGGAAAAAAAAATACCCTATATGCTTATTAAAAAGTTAATAGTAAGTGGGAAACAAGAGATCTTTTTTCATGTATTTGCTTAACTCTTCAGATTTATGTTGGGTTAGCTTTGACTTTTTCCTCCATGCTAAGGTCTTGCCTGGAGCTTTTCATCTACCACTTAAAGAATTTAGCTGAAATAACCTGGCTTCTCCAAGTAGCTTCCCTTGACACTTTCAATGCTGGGTTATACAAGGAGACTTCAAAAAGTTCTTTGAAAATGGAATTAAGTTTATTTTTGGGCAATTTTTTTGGAAATCTATGTAATTCATTTTACATATTTCTCATGAGCTCTTTGAAGACCTACCCCTCCTATATTCTATTAACTCCTACAGTATATCTTTGTAAAATAGTATTTATCATAAGGTATTAATATCAAGCTATTTGGTTTCTAATATTGTATCTTGAGGATAAATAATCTTTAAAGGGTCTGCCAATGCAATGATATACAATATATTTGAGATTTAAATGTTATACTGTATCTCCCCAAAGTTTCAAAAAATGTTTAATTTAGAAAAAACTTTAAAAAATATTACATAGAAAAACGTTTCATGTACTTTGTTTTCCAGAATACTGCTTTAGTCAACAGATATAAATTAATAAGTGAATCTGTCTCTGTTGACACATTCATCCTCCCACTAAATAAATACAGAATATATATTTAAAGAAATATCAGTCTGAACCGACACCAAATTCCTAGCCTACCCACAATCCTCAGCCTTGCTCTGATCCCAGCACAGCACTAAGACATAGCAGGCCTGTAATAAACAATTTGTTAAATGAATGAACCAAAAAAAATTTTTAAAGCATATGACTGGTATCTTCTTACATTAATTTCATTACCTGCATACTCATAAAACCAAGCCAGGCACTTCTTGCTTGAAAAATGTTCCTCTCCACTTATTAGTCTAGCAGGGGGTTGGGATCTGCAATAGCTTAGAAAACACACAAATGCCTAAGATTTTTATTAAGTCTCAATTCTTAGTGAAAAACTAAGTTCAATAAGAACTACCGCAATTCAAAGTAAACAAAATATTTTTAGACGTTGACATTATAGGGAAAAAAAACTGAAGTACTTCCAATTCAGTAGTCTAAATGTAAAAATTTATGGATAACAACCCCAAATGCTGCTTTGCTCACTATAAAATTCTAAAATATCAACTGAAATTATCTCCCAAAATTGCAAAAGACTACACAAAGAAGTTCAACCTAAGTCTCGAGGCAGGATTGTTAGTTGGGAAAGTGTAAAATCTATATTCTGTTTCTGCTACTGATTCATATGGAAATCATATTTGTATATAACAGGTATACATTTGAAAACAAAATCTTACAAAGTATATTTAGATACTTGACCAATATTTCAAAATAAAAAGATACATTAAGAATTGTTCATTTATCATCTACTAAGCTAAAATAAACATTTAAAGATAAAAATGACATAGGACCTACAGGTATACTAAATTCCATAGACTGAGAAAAAATACAAAACAAAACAAAAACTCTAAAAGTTAATGTAAGTCTCAATAATTCAGCCAAAGCTACTTAATCTCAGACAAAATCATTTTCAACACTTTTTGATGAAATCATTAAAAGTTGATTAATTCCAAAGTGGCCTGTAGGATTTCATGCACTTTAGAGTACCTTGAAATTCAAATAATTACACTATCACAATGATACAGAAATGAAACTGAGTAATATGTCAAAGAAGTATACATAATAAAAAAAAATCGAGAGACAAAGTATATCCTGAGTTCTAGTAACATTGCCAGCTCAGCTAATCTAATGTTTGGTTTAAATAATTTTGACACTTTATACACTCAAGATGGTCACAAATTAAGAGTAACTAAAAAACTAATTTGTTTCACAAAAATATGAGCTCGTGGAGCCTTCATATAAAATTCATATAAAAATTCTCTAGACCAAGAGGTGTAAGAAAATTGTGTCACATTAAACGGCCTCAGAAATACTCCTTGGTCTCCTTTGCCAAAACACAGTAATAATGAAGGAAAAAGTCAATCAATGGCGAAAAGGAAGGTGAAGACTGGATTAAGTTACCTACCTCACACTTTAAGCAGCAGATCTCTCTGTAAGAGAAGCTCTGTTATTTCCTCCTTGTAATGCTGGCTACTGTCTTCTTTGAATGGTGGCATCTGACATTGTTACATCAGGTGTCAACCATTGATACAAAGACTCCCAAAGGAAATAAAAACCAACAACGTCCAGTCCACCTCTCATTTCTAAATTGCAATGCTTCTTTTTGCAGCATGCGGTGTTGCTGTGAGGCCCCAAGGATATGCTATCATGCAAAGAGCTGTAACTCCAGTTCACCGAGCATGGTGTACAACAGCTCCCAAATTACTAATACTGATACCAAGAACTAACACTGTGCTGAATGTTAGAGAACAAAAAGCATTCTGGGTGTTTCCAAGCCTGCACACGAGGACTTGGAATAGACGGAGGCATTACGTTTCCAGAAAATGAGGTCCCTACCATATGAAAGGCCTGCAGCTCAGATGGTCTCCGTTAGGGCTTCGAATACTACATCTGGAGGCCAATTTTAGCCTAAGAGTTCCTTCCTACCGTCCCCAAAGCAGTTGTCAAGCCAAGAATTCCTCACGCTCTTTTCTTCCACGCTACAAAGAAATTCTGAAAGCGACCCTTTACTTCCACGTCTATTAAAAAGCTGAGGGTGGGATGAAGGGAGTGCGGGGCAGGGGAACGAGCGGAGCTTACAGATGCATCTGTTTCCCCCACCTCCAGGGCAGGCACCCCCTAATGCTGGAGACTGCCCCGGGCTCTCCGTGAACGCCGGGGCACACACACGAGCGAGCACGAGGTCGGTTCCGGCGCGGACTCCCGGTGTTCTGCACCTACCGCCTGGCTGGAAAAGGGGGCCTCACCCCTCTCCAGCCCGAGACCGGGAGGCCGGGCCCGACTCCCTTTCTTCCAGCTGCCCAGCAAAGGAGGAAGAAGGAAAGCTTGAAGGAAAGGGTGGAAGTGGTACCTGGAGATTTTACACTTTTTGAGGCCTCCGTCTTCTGCTATTGCCGCTGCCACCCCAGAGGATTTTCTCTTCTTCTTCACCGGCATCTTCCGCCCTCCCTGGCAGGGTGGGCAGGGGAGCCGGGGAAGGGGGTCGATGTCTGCTGGAGGCCCCTCAGCGCTGGCACTTCGTTCCCAAATACAGCAGCAAGCGGAGGGGCAGAGTCGTCAGGCTGGCCCGGCTCGGCCCCGCACGGCGGCCGTGCGTTCCCAGGTCTCCTGCTCTTTTTTCTTCGCTGGGACAGGGGTGCCTCCTCGCCGGTGGCCACTGCGGGTCGGTCTCGCCGAGAGGAAATAACGCGTACAGCGCGGCACCTCCGCCAGTCACAGGGAGCAAGCGGCTCAGCCTGACCCGGATGCGAATCCCTTATATTCGGAAGTGACGCAGGCGCGCGGGTTGCCGGAAGGGGTGTGGCTCTAGTTGACCCAGGTTAGCCGCAGGGGCGGTGGGTTCCTGCTGTCTAACCGAGGAAAAGGTAGAAGTCCCGCTTTGTGCCGGAATTACTGCAAACAAAACTTAGTATCCTGGCCTTTCTCTTCCACCCCCACCTTGGTGTTAGTAGTCACCACCGAGAATGTTTTATGAAACGAATACTCTGCAACTTGCGTTAAAAATATTCTGAAGAACTAGACCAGGTTTCACTCCTGAGCTCTTCCAAACGGTAATCTTATCGTAAGTGTTCCCGCATTTAAACGCATTGTCAGTGTCTAGCATATTTTCTTCAGGGACCTGTGATTGGCCTGTAGCTCCTTCCCCCCGCCCCCCCACTTCTCAACCTCTGCTAACCACTGTGTCCCGCAGTGAAGTTTAACTGCACAATTTTTACTTATACAGAACTCACCTCTCGGAAGAGAGATAGTAGGTGATTGCTGACTGAGTAGCAAGGAATTTACCGGACAGCAAACAGCAAAATCTAAACTGTCAGGAAGTCTTCGAGACGTGTGACCCGGATTCTGCATCAAATTACTAGGAAGAGAGGATAACGATTTAAAGGATATAGCGATCATTTTTAATATGATTCTTATTGAATATTGATTCAAGCCAACAATTCATATAGCATTTTGAGACAACTGGACATTGTAATACTAATTTGATATGTGACAAAATTTTTTACCATGTAAAACTTACCTGAAGGAACAGCATATCTGTAACACCTGGGGCTTGGGATAGGGTAGAAATAGGGAAGACGGTAAAGATGTACAAAGGAACTTTCTGGATGATAGATACACTGTGCATTAGTTGGGGTGCTGTTGTATGTACTTGTCAAAAGTCATTGACTCGTACCCTTATCTGAATTTATCTCACAAAAGGGCCATATTGATAGCCTCTGAACCTATGAGCAGTATAGAAATACTAGCTATGTGGGTTTTTTTTTTTTTAAGATTTATTTATTTGAAAGGCAGAATAACAGAGAGAGGAAGATAGATAACTTTCATCTGCTGGTTCACTCCTCAAATGGCCACAAAAGCCAGGTCTGGACCAGGCTAAAGCTGGGAGGCAAGAACTCCAAGCCCAAGCACCTGAGCCATCTTCCACTGCCCTGCCACCATTAGCTGGATTGGAAAATAGGTAGGAGTTGAACTAGCACTCTGACATGGGATGACATCACCACAAGAGGCAGTGTAACCCACTGTGTTACAATGCCAGCCCATACTTAACATGGTTTTAATTGTCTCTGCTGGCCACCAACATGTGGATTTTGATGTTTTGATGTTTCATCAAAAGCTACCTATAATAGAGAAACAAACCATGTGAAATAACTGTGCTTCTTCGATGTACAACAGAACATTTTTAAAATAAAAATAATGAGAAGGAAAGGAAGGGATTAAGTATTTACCTTAAAGAAAAACTCATGTGTTCTGGTTTCAGGTGCAAAGATGACACTAATAACTTTAGGAAAGGCACATAAATGTATCCTACTATTATACAAAAGAATGTAAAAAAAAGTACAAAACTAAATGATATCCATCTATTATGACAGTGTACATATACTTATGAATAGGGAAGTAAGCTAAAGGACTGAAACATGGCTCCATCATACATTTGGCAGCTTGTTCATACACATATCCCTTGGCTTTTCAGAGCTTTAGAACAAAACCATGAAAAAAATTGTTTAAAGATTTATTTTATTTATTCAAAACACAGAGTTACACAGAGAGAGAGGGAACAGAGGGAGAGAGAGAGAGAGAGAGAGGTCTTCCACCTGCTAGTTCACTCCCTAAGTGGCCACAATGGTCAGGGCTGGGCTAAGCCGAAGCCAGGAGCCAGGAGCTTCTTCCAGGTCTCCCATGTGGGTGCAGGTGCCAACGCCCTTGAGCTGTCCTCTGCTGCTTTCCCAGACACATTCGCAGGGAGCTGGATTGGAAGTGGAGCAGCCAGGGTGAAAATCAGTGCCTATATGAGATGCTGGTGCTACAGGCAGTCAGGTTAACCTGCTATAATACAATGCCAACCCTGAAAAAAAAACTTTAAAAGTTATATCTGAATCAAGGTAGCTAAAAATATTGCCCTAAGATGTGTTATTTGTATATTCAGTGCATAATTTTTTCTTTAAATTTTCTTTATTTATTTTTATTTGAAAGGCAGAAAGGGATAAGTCTTCCATCTACTGATTCATTCTTCAGATGCCCCCGACAGCTGGAGCCACAGCCAGGAACCCCAGACTCAATCCAAGTCTTTCAAATGGGTGGCAAGGACCCAAAAACTTGAGCCATCACTGGATTGAGTAACCCAGTTACTCTAATATGGATTGTAGTAGTCCCTGGAAGCATCCTAATTACTGCACCAAATGCATACCCTCTCCCCTTTATCTTAATACCTCTTTAAGTAAGACTTTGTCATTTGCCAGAAAAACAAGAAACATACACATAAATGATTTATGGTTAACCATATGTTATTGTTTAAAAATGCCCTCCTTGGGCCAGCACTGTGATGTAGCAGGTAAAGCCACCGTCTGCAGTACTGGAGGGTGCCAGTTCGAGTCCCGGCTGCTCCTCTTCCGATCCAGCTCTCTGCTATGGCCTGGGAAAGCAGTAGAAAATGGCTCAAGTCCTTGGGCCCCTGCACCCATGTGGGAGACCTGGAGGAGGCTCCTGGCTCCTGGCTTCAGATCGGCACAGCTCCTGAACCATTGGATGGAAGACCCCCACCCCCCCACCCTGTAACTCTAACTTTCAAATAAATACATAAATCTTTTTTAAAAAATGCACTCCTTCTCATAAATTAGTGTTGATTTTTTAAAAACAACCTTATAGGTCAGAATTTTCTGAAATACTTCCATGCATATAAACCTAGAGGAAGACAAGTAGCAATGGAGAAATGTAGGAGAAAAGTAGAAGTAAAGACAGGACTTTCTGTTCCTGTGTTTGGGTAAAGCCTATGAGAACCCCTAGTTCAGAATTATGTGACACATGCCATATACACCCTGCATCCTAAAGCAGTGTGCTGGATTACATAATTGAAGCTTGGCTGTGGCTCTGATTTGCTCTGGGATCCAGACTGAAGAAGTAGTCATTTTTTGGAATGCTGCTTGTCATTATGACAGAGAGAAAGAAAAACATGATGAACCTCACATTAGCTGGCAAAGGTTCTGCCCTAAAATGACAAGTGTCTGGTTCAAGTCACATGGCTACACCTGAGATCACAAGACAGGAAGGTGTAATCCTTTTATATAGGAACGCGTCAAATAAAGGCTGAAAATAGCCTTAAACACTATAGGTTTGGACTGAAATATTATTCCAGGTACAGGAAGTAAGAGTTCACAGAGCAGTATTAAAAGGACAATAAAGAATAACATGAAATTGGTTTGTGCTTATACTGCACTGTGGCAGGTTGTATTTCCCAAAGATGGTTACAACAGTGTCTCTCAACTCACGTTCTAGGACTTTGCCACTCCATATTAGGAAAGAGAATATAGTTTATAATATAGTAATAATAAAGTAACACAGATTCATTATGGGAAATAGATCATAGTAATGCATAATTAAATAATAAGGAAAACTGAGTGGGACTTCTAAGAACTTTCTGCACTATCATTGTAATTTTTCTGTAAATCTAAAACTCTTATAAAAATTTTTTAAGATTTTATTTATTTAATTGAGAGGTAGAGACAGAAAGGTCTTCCGTCTGCTGGTCATCCCCAAATGACCACAACTGCCAGAGCTGGACTGATCGGAAGCCAGGAGCCAGGAACTTCTGGGTTTCCTACATGGGTGCAGTGGCCCAAGCACTTGGACCATCTTCCACTCTTTTCCCAGGCCATCAGCAGAGAGCTGGATCAGTAGAGGAGCATCTGGGACATAAACTGCCACCCATATGGGATGCCAGCACTGCAGACAGAGGCTTAGCCTACTACACCACTAAATATAAAAAATATAATTTTTGAAATGATAAGTTCAGAAAGATGGTAATGAGAAGTAGGATGTTTTTGGAAGGGTCACAATTCATAAAATTCTGAATGTGGAATCAGATAGAAAACAATGTCTTTTAGATTAGGTAGCCAAGCACAGCACAGTTTCAACTTAACACCTAATCAGGAAGACTAAGAGCAAATTCTCAGGAAGGAAAGCATAGTAAATGGGACACCTGATTTACTTCTCAGTGTCTGAATATAAAAACAAGTAGTTTACAGATCCAAAATTACTGGCAGAAGGCAGGCATTATAGTGCACCAGATTAAGCTGCTGCTTGGGATGCCAGCATCCCATATCAGAGTGCCTGGGATGGAGTTTGCCTTAGCTTCCTGCAAATGCAAGTAGGAGACAGCAGATGATGGCTGGAGTTGTTGGGTTTCTGCCACACATGTGGGTGACATAGATAGAGTTCCTGGCTCCTGGCTCCAGCCTGGCCTAGCCCACATTGTTGCAGGCTTTTGTGAAGTGAACCTGAAGATGGAATATATCTCTTACTTTGTCTCTCTCTCTCT